TCACTTAAGATTGTTAATTGTTTCCTAAAATGGAAATGAGAACCTATATATGGAACGTCCAAAAAAGGAAAGTGGAAACTTTCTAATGAGACGAAGGGAGTAATAGTATATATTTCTCAAACTCTAGCACCTCGGTCAAACCATGGCGGTGTTTCAAGATGAGACAGGACCATCAATATCGTTGTGATCAGGGGTGGACACAGGGGCAGGCTGGCGGGGGGCTCGGCCCCTGCCCCAAGAAAAATTTGCGATGTATATACATATGTATAAATATTTATAATCAGTAAAATATATAGTGAAATTTTAAGATTTGACCCCTTCAATATAAAGTTCTTAAGTCCCAGCCCCCCTAACCTGGCCTTCCTGGCTCTGGCAGTGGCTGTGATAGATCTTCTATCACTGGCAAAATTCAAACCTTCGTCAAACTCGTCGCTTTCCCACCCTCGTTGCCCCTCGTACGTGCTTAAGTCGATGCTTGACGTCGCCCTGGTCACGTCACCACGATCTCTCACAATTGAAACAAAACCTTCGATCAGGGGTTGCACCATACTCACCTTCTCACCTTCCATCCTATGCCTTCCCGTTAAAGCTGAGAAAAATCAATCCCTGAAAACTCTAAACCACCGACGAATAAAGATTCACATTACCAACCCTAATTTACAGACAAGTTGTGCACTGCCACTCTCATTTTAGAAACGAAAAAGGCTAAGGATTGTGTTAGCGGTTATGTAAACATGAAATTAATAAAATTTGATGCGTAATATTAATTACATTCTCAATTTTTAAAAATAGGGTCGAATTAACACATTACTTATGTAATGTTTGTAATGCATATGACACACACACACACATAAATATATATATATATATATATATATATATATATATATATATATATATATATATATATATATATCAATCCTATAACTCTATTAGCCTCATTTAAAATATCATTTATCTAAACTATATATGAAACATTCAACTCAGATATTGTTTAAAAATGATCCGCCCTTTTTATCTTGTATTTAGTTAAATTTCGACCTCCCTGGGTCGCTTTTCTGACTCCACCATTGCCCATAATAGCATGCGGGCGGGGTTTGGGATAGGTTCTAGGCTATTAGGGCGGGCTGATAAGCCCGCCATGGTACATTTAATATATAAATCTAGCCTTCGTCCCAAAAAACTTTATTAGAAATTACTCCACATAGGACTACAACTATGGCAAAAACTCAAAATAGGACTTACTATGTTTTTCTTTTCAAAATAGGACCAAATTAGTCCTATTGGAAACATACCTATTTTTTCCTTCCATTCTTACCCTTCCTTTAAATATGAGTTAATTAAATGTTTAATTCACAATAAAATCGAAAAAAATCAAAAATTCGTAGAAAAATAATTAAAATATTTATAAAATAAAAAATAAAAAATATTTTTTTTTAAATATTTTTATTTTTTAAAAAAATTAATAAAAAATAGTAAAACTCCATTAAAAAATTAAAAAAAATATGGATGCATTTCCCACCGCCTGTACTACCTCCCTGCACCACCATCTCCGGACGGTGGAAAAAATGCCATTTTCCCTAAAAACTGCCATTTTTTCCTGAAAATGCCAAAAACGTGGCATATTTCTCTTTGAGAATGCCAACATTTTCATTATTTTCTGCCATAAATATGGCATTCGTAATGAACTTGGCATTTTTGCCCAGTGACTGGAGGTGGTGGTGCAGAGGCGGCGGTGAATTTTATTTTATTTTTTTGAGTTTTTTTTTAAAAAAAAAATTAAATTTTTTTATTTTTTGAAAAAAAAATTAATTATTATCGAAATATTTTTATTAGTTTTTTAGTATTTTTTACGAATTATTATTATTTTTTTATTATTTTATTATGAATTAAAACATTTCAATAGCTAGAAGGGTATATTTGTCCAAGACACACATAATTAGTCCTATGAAAACATAGTTTAGTTTTTGGTCCTATTTGTGCAAAGTGAGTGACTTTTAGTCCTATTTTGATAATTAACCCTATTTTTATTGAAAAGTATTTATAATATAAAAATGATATGAAAATGTACTTTATTAATTTCATAATAGTATAAATTTTATAACTTTCATAATATTAAACTTATCAAAATCATGGTCCAAATTTTATAAAATGATAATGTTTTTGGGGACGGAGGTATATACATATGTATATGTATATACACATACAGCGGCGGAACCAGGATTCGTGGCTTGCAGGGGTTCATTAAAAAACAAATCATATATATCACGAAATTATCTAGGCTACAGGGTCTGGTTAATTAAATTTAATTTGGGGCGATTCCCTGTCGACTTTTTTAATGAAATTTTTATGGCATGTTATTCATCAAATTCTAGTTTATCCTAAAACAAATTCAGCTAAAAATTCAATCGGGAAGGTCATCAAATAATTTTTGGAAGTTAATTGCGTTTTATATATATTTTCCGGCGCAGTTAACTTCTAAAAATTATTTGAGGACCTTCCCGATTGAAATTTTAGCTGATTTTTTGTGTGGATAAACTAGACTTGGTGAAGAACATGCCATAAAAATGTCATCAAAAAATTCCACTGGGAAAGCGGCCAAACGCCGCCGTCCGAACCGTGGTTCCTGATCGGAACACTACTCTCTCTCTCTCTCTCTCTCTCTCTCTATATATATATATATATATATATATATATATATATATATATATATATATATATATATATATATATATATATATACAGGGGCGGACCGTAGTAGAGACCAGGGGGGCTACCGCCCCCCCCCCCCCCCCCCCAACAAAAATTTTTTAGTGTATATATATACGAAAAATGATTTTTGCTCTTCCAAAAAGTATTTTGAATCCCCCAAAAATATTTTCGCCCCCCCAAAATGACTTTCCTGGGTCCGCCTCTATATATATATATTATAAATAAATAAAAAATTCTGTAGGGGCTGGTGCACCCCCAAGCCCATATATAGCTACTTCCGCCACTGTACACATACATATGTATATATAAATATTTATTTACATGTAGACTTGTTTGCAGACCATTATATTTATAGATATTTATGATTCATCAAGTTTAAATTTAAGTTTTAGTTCCTAACTACTAGCCCAACTCAATTGAATATATATATTTATATGTTTAAAGATCATACTTTGTACTTGAATATTAAGTTTTAGTTACACCTTTTCATATTTATTTTTATGTAGACATATTTGTGTGTGATGAGACCTATGAACATTATATGTGCACATTAACAATTCATGTAATATTATTGTATAAGTGTTCTAAATTGTTTTCATATATTTGTTATAGAGTGTTCTAAATTGTTTTTATATAAGTTTTAGTTACAGTTTTTCATATTTGTTTTTATGTAGACATATTTGTGTGTGATGAGACCTATGAACATTATATGCACATTAACAATTCATGTAATATCATTATACTAAGTTTTCTTTTAGTAACTACAAATGTCTAACCTGATTTGATCCGATGATCTTGTGTGGTCTGGGATGGGACTGAAAACCATCGAGTATTAGAGCATCTTTAACCTGACGGTGTGCACATTAAAAAATACCGCTACATCATGCAATTTGACATTTTGATAAAATATTGGTCTCCAATGCAGTGATTTTAACTTCCTGTGATGCTGAGGTGTTAAATATTTATTTAGACAGTGTAGACACCACATTCTTCTCACAACAGTTCCCTTCACATGATGAATCAGCCAAAACCGTAGAAATTATCCACGAAAATATGGGTCATATTTAGTTTCCCATTAATTAATTTGAATTTGAAATATACCACTTCGTACAAAACAGTTAGAGCTTATTGTATGCAGTGGAAGGCATTTCGGTGCCGTAGAGCATCTATTGCAACGTGGGTTTGACATTCTTCCTACATGGCTAAACATTCCAATAATGTATTGCCATGTGTCACTTTTTTTTTGAGTGCGTATACCGTGCAACGGGTGCATGGTGCTCACCATGCACCCATTAAATATTATTTTCTCTTTTTTTTAAAATGGTAATAACTTTTTTATTTTTGATCCGATTTTTCTAAAATTTATATCAACATTTTTTATTTTTCATTATCTTTCAAATGAGACCAATATTGCCTATGTAATTTTAACATATTAACATTTGCGTGTAAAATATGTAACTTTAAGTGTTAAAATATGTAACTCACGTTCAGTCAGGTCAAATGCAACTCGTGTGTATAAATATGTATCTCTACGTGTAACAATATGTAACTTTACGTAAAAAAATATGTAACTCGCGTTCAGACAGGTCACATGCAACTCGTGTATATAAATATGTAACTCGCGTGTATAAATATGTAACTTTACGTGTAAAAATATGTAACTTTACGTGTAAATATATGTAAGTCACGTTCAGACATGTCAAATGCAACTCGTGTGTATATATATGTAACTCGCTTATAAAAAAATGTAACTTGCTTATAAAAAGATGTAACTCACTTATAAAAAGATGTAATTAACTTGCTTATAAAAAGATGTAACTCGCTCATAAAAAGATGTAACTCGCTCATAAAAAGATGTAACTCAATGTATTATCAAATGTAACTGAGACCACTGATCCACTCTCAAACAGATTCGATCTTCAATTTCACAAACCTATCATCTCCCAAACAGATTCGATTTTTCTTATAATCCAATACTCATTAATATAATAGTTCGATAATTTCTTAAAATTACATACACAATATTGGTCTCATTTGAAAGATCATGAAAAATAAAAAATGTTGATATAAATTTTATAAAAATCGGATCAAAAATAAAAAAGTTATTATCATTTTTAACAACAAAAGCAAAAAAAAAAAAAACAGATGCTGCGTTGTTTTTGAAACCGAGAGCACCATCCTCATGGTGCACCCGTTGCACTGTAGAATTTGACATCCTCCCATTAAAATAAAAAGTTTATTCTAGAACAATTCAGTTACATAACGCGCTTCATCTTCACCCTGCAACCACGAAACATTTGGGTTCAACCGGGGAGTTATTGCAGTTTCATCACTGGAGTAATTTTTTGCAGGAACATTTTTTCCTAGCAAATGAAGAAGCCTGCTCTTGGAAGGTGGAGCTCATGATTATTACAGTACTCCGAAAAATTAAAAGATGTTGAGGCTCTCGCGTCCCAGGTCAGACATTAATGCAGGCATAAACAAGCCTGCTCCGTCATCTCGAGCGGTGTGGAGGTAGGCTTTTTTTTTTTTTTTTATTCTTCTCGTACATTTATAATAGGTCTGATCAATGATCATATCATTTTTTGTTTTTCCCACTGCAAAGTTTGCTCATTTTTCTTTCCGAGAAAAGCCATTTTTTTTTAATTTCTCTATGTATATATATATGCATCCATACAAAATCACTATCCACAGAAACTCCACGTTTCATTAACTTGCTCTAGTTACTTGATGATATTTGGGGGAATCTTGCCTTTTGTGATCCTTTCTACCTACCAAGTGTCCAAGTGTTTCAGAACTTGTTGCAATTTGAAATTTTCGCTATCTTATGTAATATCAAGCAAGTTTTCAAAGCAAAATATACCTTTGTTTGATCACATACTCTGGAATTTCTGTGTTTTTGGTGAACAAAAAAATGGAACGGACTGTACGTAGGCCTGCAACAGACCTCTCTGATATAGTGCTCTCATGGTCACTTGAAGACATTCTTAATGAGAATCTTTATAAACATCAGGTATCTCTTCTTTTCCCACACAAATGCGCAATGCACTGGCATTTCATGGTTTTTGAGCTTATGTACAGTTATAGGAGCATACCTATGTACTTGTTTTTTGTGTGGCTCTCAACTGATGCTATACTGTTAGTATCACAACACTGTCTCGTCATTGGATCTTTAGACGTTCTTCTTCCTGACTTTATTGAACTTTGAATTTTTATTTTTACTCTTTTATTCTGCTAGGTTGAGAAGATTCCACACACATTCTCCTCATGGGACCATTACCTGTGTTGTTATACATTTCCCTTATTTGAAGAAACTCGGGCAAATGTCCACTTGTCTATGAACGTATTGGACAAGGCTCCATCTGCTGAAGTGATCGTTTTTGAAAAGGCTGGACTTGAGGATGACTGCTTTGAAGTGTCCAATGAACCTCAAGAAGTTCTTTATTATAATGTCAAGGTTGAATTTTGCAAGAAAAGTGGAATAGATGATGGAGCGCATTACAGAACATATCCTGGAGATTTAGTATTAATCTCAAACAAAAAACCGGAAACTGCTTTTGATTTGAATCGTGTTGGCTGGAATTGGACACTTGCTTCCGTTGTTAAGGTCACCGATGAGAAGAACAAAGATGGCAATTTGTCCACAATTTTGAAAGTCAAAATGCCTATAAATCCCGGGGCAACAATTGGAACCCTTGAAAAAATTCATATTGTTTTCTTAACAAACATTGCAACAAGTCAAATGATTTGGGATGCATTAGGAATGAACAAGAATTTGAACAGTTTTGAAACCATTTTGTACAAAAGCTCTCAGGTAGCTGGTTTACACATTATTGATTACTTCCAATTCATATTGTTTCAAAAGTATCTCTTCTCACTAATACTTCAACATTGTACTGATCCTTTTTATTTTTTTATGATTTTGATTGAACTTTCTTATGATATTAATGAATAGGTCGAAAAGAAATGCTTTGCCTGCTCTCTGGATGCTGACATTAGATCATCATCAACAGAGAAGATAGAGGACAGCTTAATGTCCAAGCTGAATGAGTCACAAGCCAATGTCGTAGTTACTTGTCTTGGAAGGGTGAAATGTGACCAAATGTCTCATGTTGATCTTATATGGGGGGGCCCTGGTACCGGGAAGACAAGTACTGTTAGTATACTCCTGTTTATGCTCTTGAAAAGGAAGTGCAGAACACTTATTTGTGCACCTACAGATGTGGCAATAACCCAAGTTGCCTCTCGGGTGGTAAAGCTGATAAAAGAGTCATTTGAAGATGGGTGTTCCAAGAAGAATATGCTATATAATCAGTTGGGGGATGTGCTCTTAGTTGGAAGCAATGATAGGTTGAAGTTGGGCGAAGACACTGAAGGGATATTCCTAAACCATCGTGTCGAAAGACTTGTTCAGTGTTTGGGACCTGAAAAGGGTTGGCAATGCTGCATTCATTCTGCAATTTGTTTTCTTAAAGAATCTATTTCATGGTATGAAATCTTCACAAAAAATAATTTAAACAAAAATATAGAGTTGATGGAAAAAGGTGAAACCATAAAGGAAGTTGCAGGAGCAATAAAGCCTTTTCCAAAATTTATTAAACCAAGGTTTGAAGAAGCAGTATCACCACTCAGAAGATGCATGTTAACAATGTGTACTCATATACCAAGGACTTTCATCCAAGAACACAATTTCCAATCTATCATTTCCCTGTTTTGCCTTCTGGATGCTCTTGAAGACACTATATATGAGAAGAATATGACACCTGATGAACTGAAAAAGAATTGTCCACAGCCCGTAATTTCTGCAGTTTCCTCTGAGTCATTTGTAGATGCACCTTTTGCCTGCTTGAGCAAGCAGTGCCTCATCGTTCTGGAAAACCTTCTGCATTCTCTTGGTGAACTTCGTCTTCCAAGTGGAAAACATAGAGAAACCATAGTGGAGTTCTGCTTCAGGTTTTCATCCTTGGTTTTCTGCACCTCCTCAAGTTCTTATAAGATGCATTTAATGGATACGGCACCATTCAAGTTATTGGTAATTGATGAAGCTGCTCAGTTGATGGAATGTGAATCGCTTATACCACTTCAACTTCGAGGCCTGAAGCACGCAATTCTTGTAGGTGATGAGTTTCAATTGCCGGTGACTGTCCATAGCAAAGTGAGAATTCCATTAATTTAAGTTTTAGTATCTTGCATCTAATGACTCATTGCAACTTCATCAACCCTAATAGCAAGTATAACTGTTAATAGGTGTCAAATGAAGCTGGTTTGGGAAGAAGCTTATTTGAAAGGCTAAGTGCATTGGGTCATTCAAAGCACATGCTTAAGGTGCAGTACAGAATGCATCCTTCAATAAGCCACTTCCCTAATTTGAATTTCTATAACAAGCAAGTTATGGACGCTCCAGATGTGTGTAGCAAACTCCATGAGAGGCATTATCTTCTGGGAAGGATGTATGGCCCATATTCTTTTATAAGTGTCCCAAATGAAAATGAAGAATTTGAAGGTTTTGACGATACCAGAAGAAATATGGTTGAGGTGGCTATAGCAGTTGAAATAGTGCAGAAGTTGTTCAAATGTGAGTTGAAACTCTAAACTGTGCTTTTGATTGGTCATTTTATTTCTTGAACTATAAAGTCTTGCTATACTTGTATTGTGCTCTCATTCATCATCATCATCATTCATCATCATCATCATTACCCTAGTGCCGCACCTACGGTGGGGTAAGGGGGGGGGGGGGTCGGATGTAGTCTTACCCCTGTATTGTGCTGTCATTAACCTTTGGAAATATATACTTGTTCCTTCCATGTTTACGATTGTATCCCTGTGATGCTGGAATTAGGATAGTGGGTTCAGTTAAGAGAAATCTTGTGTTCATATTTGTTAGCTTAGACAAAGTGATGAACCTCATGCAATCAAAATGTTTCCTCTATTGTTTTGTATTCATTGCACTAGCTAATAGGGATGTAGTGAGTTGTTTGAGTTCACATGTTCTAACAAGTTATTTTATTTTGAAACCTTATTTCGCAAGATTGGCGTAACACGGGAGACAAGCTTAGCATTGGTATTGTATCCCCCTACACTGCTCAAGTTGCTGCTATAAAAGATAATATTGGCAGCAAGTATGACAATCTTAATGGATTTGCGATTAAGGTTAAGTCTATTGATGGCTTCCAAGGTGGAGAAGAGGACATCATAATATTATCAACTGTGAGATCCAATTGTACTGGCACAGTCGGTATTATGTCTAGTTTGCAAAGCACTAATGTTGCTCTGACCAGAGCCCGGTATGTGTATTATTCTCATCTTTTCATTTCTGAAAGTTGAAGCCTAAAGTGTGTTCAACCTATTTCCTTAAGGCACTGTTTATGGATATTGGGAGATGAGAGGACCCTAATGTATAGCAATTCCGTTTGGGGAGGATTAGTCCTGGACGCAAAGGAGCGTCAATGCTTATTCTCTGCTGCTGAAGATGATGATCTGCATAGTATCTTATTCAAAAATCAAAGAGGGAAGGTAAAATGATTGATGTAGTTTTTTTATCATATTTCTATTAGTTGGCTTAATAGCCTTTGCTTATATATGATATATTGAAATCAAATGCAGCATACTTTAACATTATACTCTTTTTTATGTTGTCATTTTGCAGCGGTTACTTATTTAATGTTAGAAACGTATTTGATGAGAAGTTCTAGCTTTTACTCGATCTATATTTGACACAGTCAATTCCCCTACATCTTTTTTGCATTAATTATTTGATACAATTACTAATTAATAACTTTTTTAACCCCCAATCTACAAAAGGGAGATTGAAACAGAACGCAACAATATCTAAACCTTTGCCCCAAAAGAATTTGGAGTTAACTTACATGAATCAACATATCAAATCAGAGCTAGAAAGATAAAAAAGATAAAGAAAAAGATAAAAAAATGGAGAGATCAATTTCAATAAAACCACATTTTTACACTGGTGTTCATCATTCACGCACTTTGATTTGTAAAATTCAGATCTTGTTTGTCAGGATAATGATGTCATTGAGAAGAGTAGGAATTCTGAAAGTGTGGGTTGCATCACGGGACCAGTTCGGTGGATCCCCGACCAGTCTGCTTGTAATCCCAATCAAGCTGTGTTTGAGATAGAGACAGGAACAAAGCTTTATGTTACCAATCTAGATTATAAAGTCTCTGGAGAAGACATTAAGCTCCTGTTTTCACAATTTGGTGATATAAAACGTTATACGATCCATTATGATAATACTGATGAGGGAGCAGTGGGAACAGCTGAAGTTGTTTACTCTCGCCGACAAGATGCTTTAGCAGCTTGTGAATGGTATAACAACAGTATGCTTGATGCAAAACCAGTTAAGATGGAGTTTGCTGGCACAAACAAGGTGACTCGCCTTCCTCCTATTAGTAATTGTTCCAGTGAAGCCCCCGTTAGGCGGCAAGGGAAAAAAAGAGTGCGTGGGAGAGGACGAAATGGTGGTGGAAAAATGCTTTTGCAGAAGATCTTGATGCTGATTTAGACAGGTACCATAATGAAGCAATGCAACAGAGAATTTGATGGAGTTTCCTCCTAGCGTAGGGTGCCATTCTTGGGTGAAGGCAGCTTGGTCCCTGATACTTTGTTTTGTTGGAAGTGTTGGTGTGTGTAGTATGCTTACATTTACTGTGCATCAAATTTGGGATCGATGATTCATAATGCTACCACTTAATTGTTAGTGATATCATATCATCATATACATTAAAGGGAGGTCTCCCTTTCCCTAAAATTTGTGTTCCATCTCTTAAATTTTGTAGTGTCATATGTGGAGTATTAATGGAATCAAAATTGAAATTGAAATAGTAAACAAAGTAATGCTGCTATGGCTAGAGACTAAAAGAGTAAGACTACGTATTAGGTAGTAGCAAAGGTTCATATTTCACTATTACAAAATAGCTATTGTGGAATAGTAACATTATTATACGAACTAATCTTAAGATTCAAATATTTCCATCTCTCGTGTATTTTTTATACGGAGTATTATCTGATTAAAGGGTCCAATTGTGGAACTGTAGTATTCTACATATGTTTTAACTACTAGTACAAAGTTTCTGTCTGTTTTTGGTTTTATATTCAGTCTTTAAAATAAAGAACTATGAATGGTGATATTGTAGAGTAAATATCTACACAGCCGTAAGAAATGTATTAAGAAATTATAAATTACGATGAATTTTCTGCCTAAACACCATTTCTCATAAAATGATAAATTACTTTTATAATAATAAAATAAAATATAATAACTATTCGAAAAAATTGTACTACCTCCGTCCCAAAATTATTAGTCAAATGCAAAACTTTGATCAATAATATATACTCCGTATTAGGAAAAATGGAAACTAATAATCCAATCTTTTAGCGGTGTTCTTACAAAATTACAATAGTTCCACTTTATCGTAATTCATGAATAATCCAACTTTTGCATTGCATTTCATATTCATACACTACTTTTTGTAATATCTTTTTTATTTTCATACATTTTTTTGTAATATATTTTTATATGCATACACTTTTTCTATAATATATATTTTTATCGTTTTTATATGTTTTTAGAGGTTTTTAAGACATTGAATTTGTTTTTTTATTCTTGCTTGGAGTTACATTTGATAATATACGAAGTTACATCATCTTATGCTCGGGTTTCATGTTATTATGCATGAGTTACAACTTGTTATACGTGAGTTACATCTTTTTATGCGCGAGTTACATACTTTTATGCGTGAGTTACATCTAATTATGCGTGAGTTACATCTAATTATTTGTGATATTTTACTTATTTTTATCTTTAACTAATTCAATTACAACTGAATTAATTTTTTTCTTTACCAATTTGTTACAAAATTTTATTAAACCACATAAATAAGTATATTGTATTTTATAATCACAAAATCAAACCCTTTTATTGAATAAAAAAACTCTTTTTAAATCGATTTTCTTTTGCAAGAAATGGTTTTTTTGAGAAAAAATGATTTCTTTAAAACATTTTGTGGTCTTAATATTTAAAACAAAACATATTCACTATTTCGGTAAAATAAATAAGAAATTAGACTCATTTTTCATTGTTTACATGTTTTATTTCTTATACTATGTACGTATTTAACAAGTTACATTTCAACTCGACTTGAGTTACATCGATCAATAACGTGAGTTACATATCTATACACGCGAGTTACATCATTCATGCTACTGGGACAAAAAGAAGAAAAAGCTATTATTGTAAACGTGTGTACTCTTCACGCGAATTTTTTAAAAAAATTGTGCAAAACTATGTAGTTTTAAAAGTGGAGCATGACACTCACCGTGGGATGATCCCACGGTATACGAACTGCGTTTTTTCACAATGGGTCTCATGGACCGAATTTTTTCCAAAAAATTAATTTTGTTCGTTATGTATGCAATGCAAGCATCGATTAACTAAATTTGGGTCAGGATCCGCCGTTTGGCCTAGGTAATTTGGGTCCGTTCTCGGTGGAATTTTTGGATAGAAGTTTTTGAGCATGTTCTTCATCAAGTGTAAATTATCTCCACAAAATTTTAGTTTAAAGTTTCATCGGGAAGTCAGTTAAATGAATTATTGAACATATTCCATTTTATGTATATACATAAAATGCAGTAGTTTTGAACAATTTATTTAACTGATTTCCCGATTGAATTTTAAGCTGAAATTTTGTGGAGATGATATACTAGTACATTTGATGAAGAACATGCTACAAATAATTCATAAAAAAATCGCTCCAGAAGCCCCTCAAACGTGCTTTGTCGGACAGTTGGTCATGTGAGACCGGGCTAACTGGATCGTTGCTCGTTATTTCCCCCAACATTACCTCTATCATATTTGGCTAGGGGTGGGCATTTCGGTTTTCGGTTTGGTTTCTCTGGTTTCGGTTCAGTTTCGGTTTAATCGGTTTGATAGAAAATGTACCAAATACAAATCGATTAAGTTTCGGTTTGGTTTCAGTTTGGTATGGTTCGGTTCGGTTTGGAGTTCGATTTATCAAAGTATTAAAGTTTGGATTGAAATAAAAAAATTAACTCAAAATAATGAACCAAGAAGCGATAGTAATGAAACAAATATAATGTTAGATATAAATTTGCAAATAGTAAAAAACACATATGAACCAAAAATATACTCCCTCTGTCCCTCAAAGTTTGTCATAGTTTGACTTCACAAGTTTTAAGGAGATGAATTTGTCTTTACACTATAGCGACATTGTTCCACACTATAGCGACACTGTTTTGCACTGTTTTGCACTCTTTGACACTGTTTGGTATAGTTTTGTTTACCAAATAAGGAAGTTGAAAAGGTAGGGCAAACATTTTGGGACATCCGTTTCGGGAAAGTGTGACAAACTTTAAGGGACGGAGGGAGTATAAGCATGGGTTGCTCCGCCCGGTGGGTCGGGGGCAGCTACCCGGTCGTTCGCGGAGGTCCTGGCGGCCAATAAGGACATACCACTTAAAGTACCGTTTCGGCACCGAGGTATGCCCGCTGTCAGTTTTTCAGAAGATGAAGTCTCAATGCTCGCGGATCAACACAAGTATACGCTGGTCGGTTCCTTTGTTCGAGGGAGGCCATCGATGACAATTATCAGGCAAGAGTTTGAAAAAATTGGATTTAATGGCTCCCTTACGTTTGGATTACTTGATCAAAGGCATATTTTGCTCAAATTTGGATCGGAAGCGGATTTCCAAAGGTGTTGGCTACGACAATCTTGGATCATTCGAGGTTTTCGTATGAAGATCTCTCGATGGACACCAGATTTTCAGCCGGATGTAGAATCTCCGATTGTTCCAGTGTGGATTACGTTGGATGGTTTGCCGCTTCATTTACATGATAAAAGGGCCTTGTTTTCTATTGCCGGAATGGTTGGCAAACCCCTCAAGGTGGATATAGCTACGGCTAATTTTTCTAGACCATCCACGGCAAAAGTGTGTGTGGAATTGGATCTTCTTCAAGAAATCCCATCGAAAATTCTTATATTGCATGGTAAGAGGGAAATTATCCAGCCGGTTACGTATGAAGACCTTCCCAAATATTGTGTGAAGTGTAGTCGAATTGGACATTCTAAGGAGGAGTGTGGTATTCCTAGAATCAGGGCTGCTCCGGGGGAAAAGTTCTTAATGCGCAGACTGGGCGCAAAAATGAAATGAAGGTGAATAAGGAAGGTCCAGAACAATGAGTCCATGTTTTGAGAAATAAGAAAGAAAAAGAGACGATGATTGTTCAGGAGGAACATGCGGAAACGTCAAATAAAATTCTAAAGGATATGCTTCAAATCACAGAAAAAGGGGAGAATGGTATGCAAATGCAGAACTTAAAGGTGGTTGATCAAAATCAACAAATTATAGAGGAAACAATTCAAGTGGAGGGGCAGACTCAGCTGGAATTTCTTCCAGGGAGGGAGGATGTTGAAAATCTATCTGCAGGAAAGGAGGTGAATGACGGAATGGTTAATTGTGTTGATAACATTGAAAGCAGTGAACAAATTACGCCAGAGAAGGGAATGCTGGGGATAAGAGAGATGGAAGGAGAACTTTCCACGTTAAATGTTACCAAATTTATCTCCTTTGAGGAGGGTAGTGGCCATGAGGAGGAGGATACTGTTGTTGAGATAGAGGGTTATGTCTCCGATGGAGGTCAGGCAAATTTGGAAGATATGGTTGTGGAAGCTTGGCAAGCTGTGTGTGAGGAACTTAGAAAGAAGGTTGATGCAGTTCAAAACAAAAAGGGGAAGCTTTGGAAGGAGTATCCAAAAAGAAGGTTAAAGAAATTCCTCCGCGGGCAGTCACAACTAGGTTGGCCGCTAAGAGGATCAACACGGACCCCTCTGTCGAGGTTTCCTTATGAAGCTTCTATCTTGGAATGTGCGTGGCCTCGTTAATTTGTGCCCAAGGTTACGTCATTTTATAAGGCACCATTCTATTCACTTTGTTTCAGTTATTGAACCGATAGTGAATCAAAGTAGAAGATATTTCTTTAAATTTAATTTGGCTATTTTGGAACACCAGTTTCTTTGAGGTTACTGATATTCGGGAAGGGGATCAATTCTTACTGGTTACGTTGAAATATATCCCTACGAACTATGTTTTCGTCTTTTCTTTTGTCTATCTACTCCATACTAGAGCAGATAGGGCTAGATTATGGGAAGGGTTGTATCTTTTTGCTCAACAAAGCCAGGTGGATTGGATTTTGGGGGGTGATTTCAACGTTGTTTCTTCGGTGGCTGAATATAAAGGCCCATCTAGTCCCTCCCTAAATGCTATGCTTGACTTTCAAGACTGTATTGATCGTTGTGAACTGGTCCAGCTTCCAACTATTGGCTCTACCTACACTTGGTCGGGTGTTAGAAGGAATGGCAGGATTTGGGAGAGGCTTGATAGATATTTAGCTAATCAAGGCTTCCTCTTGAAATTTGAGGTGGTTACTACACAACATTTGGTTAAAACACCTTCAGACCATTGCCCTATCTCACTGATGTGTGAAGACGGTTCACAGAAAGGTCCTAAACAATTCCGATTTCAAAACATGTGGTTTTCTCACATGGATTTTTTGCCTTTTGTTAAGAGATGTTGGTCTATGTATCCTACGTTTGGAGGTATGCGAGGATTATGTGACAAGTTACGGAGACTAAAGCTGGATATTAAAAATGGAATAAGGAAGTTTTTGGTGACATTTTTAATGATGCTACGAAGCTGGAAGAGGAGGCTGTGATTGCGGAAAAAGAGTTTGAAGAGAATCCTACCGAGAGTAATAGATGCAAGAGTTTCCAAAAACACGCAGAATTGT